AACTTACCGAGAACACTTACAGAGACAACACCATCAAGAATCTTGAATCTCAACCTTCTGCCGCCTTTCCCAAGCTAGTTTCTTTCAGGGGCCATATAGGGGCCCCAAATCACAACAGCTCAAATCAGCGTCCCACACCCATCATACAGTTGTATTTTGGTATTAAAACTCCATTTAGAACTTATTAGGTGGTACTTAGCTCATAAAATCCACAAAAGGAGCTTTACACACTCGCTTAGGCTTAAGAAGCAAAAGATTACTGTTCAGAGAAATATGGCTGTATGAAATTGGTATTGTTTGCTGTAAAGATGAGATCTGGTGAAACACTCTGTCCTGTTACTGATCTGTGTAAAACAACAGAAAGTGAGTTAAATTTGACTCCAAAGTCCAACAGGTCACTGGAAGCCATCAACTCAGTGTGTACTTCTAAAACAGCCTGCTTCTACCTTTTAGAGGCTTTCATGTAGAAATCTCTGAGTTGAGCTCGAAATGGCTTCAAACTTACCGAGAAGACTTACAGACACAACACCATCAAGAATCTTGAATCTCAACCTTCTGCCGCCTTTCCCAAGCTAGTTTCTTTCAGGGGCCACATAGGGGCCCGAAATCACAACAGCTCAAATCAGCATCCCACACCCATCATACAGTTGTATTTTGGTATTAAAACTCCATTTAGAACTTATTAGGTGGTTGTTAGCTCATAAAATCCACAAAAGGAGTTTTACACACTCGCTTAGGCTTAAGAAGCAAAAGATTACTGTTCAGTGAAATATGGCTGTATGAAATTGGTATTGTTTGCTGTAAAGATGAGATCTGGTGAAACACTCTGTCCTGTGACTGATCTGTGTAAAACAACAGAAAATGAGTTAAATTTGACTCCAAAGTCCAACAGGTCACTGGAAGCCATCAACTCAGTGTGTACAGGCTAAAACAGCCTGCTTCTACCTTTTAGAGGCTTTCATGTAGAAATCTCTACATGAGTCCTGTTCAGTGAAATATGGCTGTATGAAATTGGTATTGTTTGTTGTAAAGTTGAAATCTGGTGAAACACTCTGTCCTGTGACTGATCTGTGTAAAACAACAGAAAATGAGTTAAATTTGACTCCAAAGTCCAACAGGTCACTGGAAGCCATCAACTCAGTGTGTACAGGCTAAAACAGCCTGCTTCTACCTTTTAGAGGCTTTCATGTAGAAATCTCTGAGTTGAGCTCCAAATGGCTTCAAACTTACCGAGGAGACTTACAAGACAACACCATCAAGAATCTTGAATCTCAACCTTCTGCCGCCTTTCCCAAGCTAGTTTCTTTCAGGGGCCACATAGGGGCCCCAAATCACAACAGCTCAAATCAGCGTCCCACACCCATCATACAGTTGTATTTTGGTATTAAAACTCCATTTAGAACTCATTAGGTGGCAGTTAGCTCATAAAGTCCACAAAAGGAGCTTTACACGCTCGCTTAGGCTTGAGAAGCAAGAGAGTCCTGTTCAGTGAAATATGGGTGTATCAAATTGGTATTTTTTGTTGTAAAGGTGAGATCTGGTGAAACACTCTGTCCTGTGACTGATCTGTGTAAAACAACAGAAAGTGAGTTAAATTTGACTCCAAAGTACAACAGGTCACTGGAAGCCATCAACTCAGTGTGTACAGGCTAAAACAGCCTGCTTCTACCTTTTAGAGGCTTTCATGTAGAAATCTCTACATGAGTCCTGTTCAGTGAAATATGGCTGTATGAAATTGGTATTGTTTGTTGTAAAGTTGAGATCTGGTGAAACACTCTGTCCTGTGACTGATCTGTGTAAAACAACAGAAAGTGAGTTAAATTTGACTCCAAAGTACAACAGGTCACTGGAAGCCATCAACTCAGTGTGTAGAGGCTAAAACAGCCTGCATCTACCTTTTAGAGGCTTTCATGTAGAAATCTCTGAGTTGAGCTCCAAATGGCTTCAAACTTACCGAGGAGACTTACAGAGACAACACCATCAAGAATCTTGAATCTCAACCTTCTGCCGCCTTTGTCGGGTCGGAAATAAGGACCGGCCGGGCCAGTAAAAGACCTGGTCCTTACCCTAACCAACGTAATAAACTCAATAAAATTACTCTATTAGATTTCTTCTTTAGTCAAAAGACGGCGTAGTCAAAAACTTCACTGGAGACGGTCAAGAGTCGGTGCAAAAAGTTTATTCCAATAAAGGACAGATAAACCCGAGCAACATCCCTGCAGGTCTCAGGATGGAACCGAGTTGGTGGTCAGCGAACATCGCCTTATATTCACCTTAAGCTCCACCTTGTCCCTCCCTTCAGGTGGGCGTTACATCTTAACTCCTCCTTATCTCCTCCTTCTAGGTGGGCGTTACATCTTAACTCCTCCTTATCTCCTCCTTCTAGGTGGGCGTTACTCCTTAACTCCACCTATGGTGTTCGCTGACCATTCCTCCCCTTTGGTGGATTTCTTATCCTCTACTGCCATCTAGTGGCCTTTTTCTTGTACTGTTTTACCAAATTAACCCTTTCATTAATGTTACAATTTCCACTTTTTAACTATTATTACATGTAATTATTGTTACCATTTATCTCTCTTTATATTTTTTACATTACTGGATTAGAAATCCACCAATATGTTTCAACTTCAGTCCCACTGTATTTTTTAAAGTTATACAGGCATAGTTTGACACCATTAAAACTTAAACACTTACAATCGTATTTTTTAAAAGAATTGATAAGGAATAACATATTTCATACATGTATAACGTGATTCAATGAACAATTACATGATTTAGCAATGCCAACCATGAGGGTGCTTTGTCTCATACAAGTTAACTTTCAGCAGCGCAGAGCTTGGTTGCATGCAGTACCTAGCCGTACCAGTTGCCATAAATAACATGTCATGATCTCATTCTTGGCTTCAGTTCGCGATGATCTCAGCCCTGGCGTACGTGACTTTCTGCATGTGCCTTGCTTCTAATGAGTGGGTTACGGTTGGCTAGGTTTTGCCTGCGCGGCCTGAGCAGCTTCTCTGCTCATGTAGGCACATTAAAAAGCACACGTTCACAGAGAATAAGAATAATATATGATAAACACACAGCGTATAAGAATAAAATATGAGTTTGAACACACTCATTAAACACTCAGTAGTTAAACACTCAGTAGTTAAACTTTACACTATAAAATAACACTTTAAATGATGACGATGTAGACCACCATTGCTCTAGTAATTAATGATAACAATTTAGGCTATAATGCTCCAAAATAATTCACAACACTCCCTCCTCTGAGGCTGTAAAGCCTCACACTTCATAAACCAACACTGTGACCACTGAAAATAGGCGGCCTATTGTATTTGCATATGAAACCTATTTCTCAGACTTGTAGACCTTCAAGAAAATACCCAAATTAGTGTTTACACGTTGTGAAATAATCAATAATCATGTGGTGGGATGTTCCTGTTTCTAACACATTTGAGCAAGTTATAATGACAAGGATTTCCATTACTCCTCTCTCCTTATTACCCTTTAAATGAGTTTCCCTTTAAATGAGCTTAACATATTAAACTACCTATACGTGCTATAATATAGTGAGATATACCTTGTAAATGGTTTACACTTGTGAAACAAATAATATCTTATGCAGTGAGCTGTTCTTTTCTTATATACTTTAGCAAGCTAACAATTATAACAACACCTAATGTGTTGAAAGGCACACATCATCAAAACATCACATGGTGCATAGTGAACTTTCCAGACATAAGAGTGTTTCAACAATCATTCATGTGACACTTCAGAATGGTGCAAAATGTCTGATAAACATGTATGATGTCTATTTTGAAAGTTTAGTCCGTGGTACTGTGGAACTCTTTTTTGGCACTCAGGTTTCTTGGGGAACAGACTGGGTACCAATTTGAGGGTGCTCAGTCGTTTGTAGTTTCAGTCTTGTTCTTCCTTTTGCTGGTTCACTTGGACTCATAGCTGGTGATAGTCAAAGTCGTCTCTGTGGTGATGCAGGTCGCGCTTGATCTTGCCTGCTGCTGCGTCTGCCTCACGAGGCCTCATAGGAGAGTGGCCTCCTCTGGTCTTTGACTGGCTGTGAAAGATTATTAAGCTTGCTTGCAACTGTATCTTACTATTACCAATAAGTGAGCTTTATCCTACTGTTTGTAGTTTGGAGACTTTAACTATTGTTTCTATCTGTCTAATTTTTTCAACATGAGTTTGCTTCCTAGATATTATATTTGCTTGCAATTTAACCCCTCTAACATCCTGTATATCTGTGTATTGAATTACATTGCTATTGGATGTACAAATAGCAAATCTTGAAACACTCCATTATTCATTAGTGCACTACAATTCTTCCATACTTCAAACTAGTTTACTAATACTACCTACAGAAACAGGAAGAAAACATAGATTAACACAGATGTTCAACAAAAACAGAAAGAAAACATAAATGAACTCAGGTGTTCAGCATCACACATGTGTCTCAGGTTATCATTACAGTTGCTTGGTTGTTCCTGTGGAATACATGACAAAGGTCAGTCATGATTTGATACTCACAATCATCAAATTTAAGCATGCAGTAGCAATGTGCTGCTAAAATTGCTTTATAAGGCTTCAATGAGGCTTCTCCTTTCGGCCTCTTTAAAATCAAGCCTGAAAGGTTGCCTGTCATTGTATCTGCTACATCGAGGAGCTCTGCGCTGGCTGTTCCTCTGCACAAATCCAGAGCAGACAGTGATATCTAACAATTATAATATAAAAATAATCCCACTAGATTCCCTGTTTAAAAACACAAGGAATTCCTGATGTTCTGATCCCTTTTTGCTGAAATTTAGTAACAGGTGGCTGCTGGAGGAGAGCAGGACACCAAAGTTATTAACTCAGTATATTTGTGTTAATGAATCAATTATTAATGACATATCTTGCTATTTTATAGATCCTGAGCTAACCTTATTCCTGTCTGTCTTTTTGGATTTAAATCAGTCCTATTTTCTTTTTTCTTCCCCTTCTTTCTATTTTTTCTTCTCCTACAAATTATCAACACTCCTACTCCCAAACTCTTGTGAGGTCTTCAAACAGTTCTTTTTCGGTAGATGTTGCAGTTTTCAAGGCCTCTGACAGTCTGACCATTTGTAATGTTGATCATGGTGAGACAGAGAGCTCTTCCTTGGTGATGTCTCTGTCAGCACTCGGTCACATGTGAGAGCATTTTGGCTGAAGTTCATTTTCACAGTGAAGCCTTCTTGACCTTTTAAACTTTGTGCTGTTAGGTTCACAGTCTTTAAGGTGGTGTTGTCCTCTTTATGATTCGACTGTAGATGGTAGATGTGGTCTGACTCGCTATGTCCTCAGCGTTGGGAAGATGCTGACGTCAGTGGAGGTGGGCTTGGGCCTGTGATGCATCAGGTTGGCACGCCTCTCTGTGGAACGCCTCCTGTATCACTGTTCGTTTGTGGCCCTCCCTTTCTTCCTCACAGTCAGATTCTGCTGTGTCCATTTTGAAGCTGCTCTCTCGCCTTCTTCATGAAACTTCAGAGCTGCCATCTTGTCCACTGTAGCTCTGTCTCGCTGTCGTCATGTCTCATGGTTTGTTGTGCTCTGCAGGTATCTTGGTCTGTAGGCAGATCTTTTGTCTTTCTGAGATCTGTGCTATGACGAACTTTTCACTTTGTTTGGGAGTTGTTATTCTTTCTATTCATATCTAGCTCTCGTCTCCTCCCTATCTAATTAGCCTCTCTTTTTCCATCTCTCCTTTATATCTGAACTCAACCCTTTAAAGACCCTAATTCTTTTTTCTTCTTCTTCTGCCTGTACTGGCCCTTGACTGCACTTACTTATATCTTTCTTCCACTTGCTGTATACGTTTCTTCATCTGGGGGTATATCTATTTAGACCTTATCTAACAGGATGGGGTCTTTCATTATTCTGTCTCTGTGACTACTTTTCCTTCACTAAAGGCTATATAGTATGTCAATATTATCTAACTGTTGGTCAAACTGTTTCTCCATATTTTCCCTTCATTCTAAGCTTTCTCTATCTCTTATCTGACGTCTTTTATTTTATCTTTAACTACTTAGTTTTGCTGTTACCACATATGTTGTTGCCACAGCTCCCTCCTTTGACCACCTTTGCAGCTAATATTTCTTTTTTCTGCTCTTTACCATTTAATTTCACCTGCTGTGTGCCTCCCAGGACAGCCATCGCACACTCACTGCGAGCAAACACTTACTCTCTGGAAACTTTGGAATTTGGACGGCCTTCATGCCTCGAAAAGGAAAAAGACAGTTAATTGTAAAGCCACACAACCAAGAAACTAGAATGAAACAATTCATTGAAAGAAACTCAGGCAGCTCCCCTTTGTTTTTATATCAAAGAGCTATTCAACTGAAAAATCATCAAAGTAGTGTTTACTAAAAATAACTAACTTCAGTGAAACTAACAACTATTAAAATATCAAATTCATTTTCTCACATCTAATACAAAATTGATGGCTCTCAATCCCTTCTCTAACTTAAATCCTTCATAGATAACACCTCACATTGCTGCCTATCAATCTGTACCTCTATGTTCCAATAAATTGGCAAACTTTATCAGATGTCATCATTTTTCTAGTTTTGTTCCTTCTCCTCGACCAAAAAGTGTCTTCAGCCTGTTATTCTGAACTAAATTTCCTTTATTATCATAATACTTCAGTAGGCTGTTTCAACTACACTTTTCCTTTCTGTATCCAGCAGTCATTGCCATTCTTTTACTAATCTGCTCACTGTCAAGCTGTTATTGGTTCAAAAAACTTTTATAACTTCTGTTATTATTAACTAATGAGTAACTTGCTATAATGTGCTGTTGTTATCCTAGAAAGGTGCAACAGATCACAAAACTCTCATAACTTTTGGTTTAGGGCTGAACTGCTCTCTTTTTCTCTCTCTCAGTCTGCTGTCCTCCCCCACATGGACACACTCACTCACACTCACACAGACACAGCTCAGCTCCTGCTCTGTGCCTCTCTTTTCTCATCCAGTCTTCATTATTCGGGCGTGGACTGCCACTTCAGAACTTTATTTTGCACATAGCTTTATCACAATTCAATCTGAGACTGCATCAAAGCCGTCTTTTACACTATACTAGTCCACATTCACTATTTCATCAATATATTCATATTTATTACTTTATAACTCCTTCCATCAACTTCTTATACTTATTTATATCACCATATCAACTCTATTCATCTGTTATCCTTAAGCTTTATGTTAGTTTAATATTAGATCAGTTATTCAACTGTCATTATTTTATACTTTTTATCTAATGGTCTTAAACATGAGGCTTCAAGACTCAAACTATTAGTATTATTATTTTAGGCCTTGGTAACATTTATATGCACTTTTTCTTAACACACAGCTATCAACTATTTTCAGCAATATTTACATGCACGTACGTCTTCTGACTCCTATCTCCTGCCGGCTTCTGACTTTATGTACATTACCTAGGCTTTCAGCTGAATAGTCTGATCACTTCCTCAACACAGACTTAATTTACACTGCCTAGGTTTATTTCCAAATTGGTGGACCTGATTCACTTCCTCAACACAGGCCCAATTTACACATAAATATAGCCTCTCAATTCACTTCCTCAACATGAGGGCTTAGACAGAAATGATTCACTTCCTCAACACAAAATCTGTCTTTATAAATCGCTACTCAATTCACTTCCTCAACATGAGCGCGTAACACTTCTTTAAGCACGCTTTATTCTCCTATCCTGCCGCAGTCCTATTTAGGCTCCTAGCGGTAACGTGCTATAGTACATCCGCCCGTTCAGTCCGAACCTACCATCGAAGAGCCCCAACACTCAGTTGAAATCCTGCGATATAAGCTCGCGGTAGCCACGTGATGACTATTTTATTAGCCTATTTTTGCCCATGCAGCCCCGAGCCAGTAAGTGGAGCGCCCCAGCACTCAGCTGTGACCCTACAACTCTCCGATCCGGCGGTATCCGCAAAAATGCTTAAATTCTTATCTCTTCATCAGCTCATTACGCCTATGCAGTCCTGTTCTGATTGGATCGAAGCTCCCCGACATTAAGTCGAAGCGCTGCGATTCTTAAAAACAGCGGTATTCACGATGATGGCTGGAAAACACTTATTTTACTTACCCTTAAAAGCAAACAATTAAACACAAAAAGCGCATCTATTCTACTAGCATTACACACTTTGACATAGACATATTCCGCACCATGGTTCACACACACACATGCAAATTTAGCTGCTATTGCATTTTGCCTGCATTTAGATTTGCACCGACTCTTACCCCTCCAGCGTTTACTTTCTTTCTTTATTTAGTTTCAATTCACCATTAAAATCCAAATTTCGTCTTTTAGTAAAATATTTTATACTTAATTTACTGCTTTTTGCACTCAAAATTTATTCTAGGTTCAAGATTGAGGAGACTTTAAGATTCACACCTGGGCGGAAAATCCCGTATTCAGACACAGTTAAAATGCGGAATTTTGGTTAAACAGGTATTCTGCTTACCTTTTCTATGTGGCCACGTGTCTCAGATACAGGCTGTCCGTCCCGGTCAGAAACTCTCGGCCTCTGGACTCAATCTCCTGGCTGGCTCGCCAATTGTCGGGTCGGAAATAAGGACCGGCCGGGCCAGTAAAAGACCTGGTCCTTACCCTAACCAACGTAATAAACTCAATAAAATTACTCTATTAGATTTCTTCTTTAGTCAAAAGACGGCGTAGTCAAAAACTTCACTGGAGACGGTCAAGAGTCGGTGCAAAAGAGTTTATTCCAATAAAGGACAGATAAACCCGAGCAACATCCCTGCAGGTCTCAGGATGGAACCGAGTTGGTGGTCAGCGAACATCGCCTTATATTCACCTTAAGCTCCACCTTGTCCCTCCCTTCAGGTGGGCGTTACATCTTAACTCCTCCTTATCTCCTCCTTCTAGGTGGGCGTTACATCTTAACTCCTCCTTATCTCCTCCTTCTAGGTGGGCGTTACTCCTTAACTCCACCTATGGTGTTCGCTGACCATTCCTCCCCTTTGGTGGATTTCTTATCCTCTACTGCCATCTAGTGGCCTTTTTCTTGTACTGTTTTACCAAATTAACCCTTTCATTAATGTTACAATTTCCACTTTTTAACTATTATTACATGTAATTATTGTTACCATTTATCTCTCTTTATATTTTTTACATTACTGGATTAGAAATCCACCAATATGTTTCAACTTCAGTCCCACTGTATTTTTTAAAGTTATACAGGCATAGTTTGACACCATTAAAACTTAAACACTTACAATCGTATTTTTTAAAAGAATTGATAAGGAATAACATATTTCATACATGTATAACGTGATTCAATGAACAATTACATGATTTAGCAATGCCAACCATGAGGGTGCTTTGTCTCATACAAGTTAACTTTCAGCAGCGCAGAGCTTGGTTGCATGCAGTACCTAGCCGTACCAGTTGCCATAAATCATAACATGTCATGATCTCATTCTTGGCTTCAGTTCGCGATGATCTCAGCCCTGGCGTACGTGACTTTCTGCATGTGCCTTGCTTCTAATGAGTGGGTTACGGTTGGCTAGGTTTTGCCTGCGCGGCCTGAGCAGCTTCTCTGCTCATGTAGGCACATTAAAAAGCACACGTTCACAGAGAATAAGAATAATATGATAAACACACAGCGTATAAGAATAAAATATGAGTTTGAACACACTCATTAAACACTCAGTAGTTAAACACTCAGTAGTTAAACTTTACACTATAAAATAACACTTTAAATGATGACGATGTAGACCACCATTGCTCTAGTAATTAATGATAACAATTTAGGCTATAATGCTCCAAAATAATTCACAACACCTTTCCCAAGCTAGTTTCTTTCAGGGGCCACATAGGGGCCCCAAATCACAACAGCTCAAATCAGCGTCCCACACCCATCATACAGTTGTATTTTGGTATTAAAACTCCATTTAGAACTCATTAGGTGGCAGTTAGCTCATAAAGTCCACAAAAGGAGCTTTACACGCTCGCTTAGGCTTGAGAAGCAAGAGAGTCCTGTTCAGTGAAATATGGGTGTATCAAATTGGTATTGTTTGTTGTAAAGGTGAGATCTGGTGAAACACTCTGTCCTGTGACTGATCTGTGTAAAACAACAGAAAGTGAGTTAAATTTGACTCCAAAGTACAACAGGTCACTGGAAGCCATCAACTCAGTGTGTACAGGCTAAAACAGCCTGCTTCTACCTTTTAGAGGCTTTCATGTAGAAATCTCTGAGTTGAGCTCCAAATGGCTTCAAACTTACCCAGAAGACTTACAGACACAACACCATCAAGAATCTTGAATCTCAACCTTCTGCCGCCTTTCCCAAGCTAGTTTCTTTCAGGGGCCACATAGGGGCCCCAAATCACAACAGCTCAAATCAGCATCCCACACCCATCATACAGTTGTATTTTGGTATTAAAACTCCATTTAGAACTTATTAGGTGGTTGTTAGCTCATAAAATCCACAAAAGGAGCTTTACACACTCGCTTAGGCTTAAGAAGCAAAAGATTACTGTTCAGTGAAATATGGCTGTATCAAATTGGTATTTTTTGTTGTAAAGGTGAGATCTGGTGAACACTCTGTCCTGTGACTGATCTGTGTAAAACAACAGAAAGTGAGTTAAATTTGACTCCAAAGTACAACAGGTCACTGGAAGCCATCAACTCAGTGTGTACAGGCTAAAACAGCCTGCTTCTACCTTTTAGAGGCTTTCATGTAGAAATCTCTACATGAGTCCTGTTCAGTGAAATATGGCTGTATGAAATTTGTATTTTTTGTTGTAAAGGTGAGATCTGGTGAAACACTCTGTCCTGTGACTGATCTGTGTAAAACAACAGAAAGTGAGTTAAATTTGACTCCAAAGTACAACAGGTCACTGGAAGCCATCAACTCAGTGTGTACAGGCTAAAACAGCCTGCTTCTACCTTTTAGAGGCTTTCATGTAGAAATCTCTGAGTTGAGCTCCAAATGGCTTCAAACTTACCGAGGAGACTTACAGAGACAACACCATCAAGAATCTTGAATCTCAACCTTCTGCCGCCTTTCCCAAGCTAGTTTCTTTCAGGGGCCATATAGGGGCCCCAAATCACAACAGCTCAAATCAGCGTCCCACACCCATCATACAGTTGTATTTTGGTATTAAAACTCCATTTAGAACTTATTAGGTGGTTGTTAGCTCAAAAAATCCACAAAAGGAGCTTTACACACTCGCTTAGGCTTAAGTAACAAAAGATTACTGTTCAGAGAAATATGGCTGTATGAAATTGGTATTGTTTGCTGTAAAGATGAGATCTGGTGAAACACTCTGTCCTGTGACTGATCTGTGTAAAACAACAGAAAATGAGTTAAATTTGACTCCAAAGTCCAACAGGTCACTGGAAGCCATCAACTCAGTGTGTACAGGATAAAACAGCCTGCTTCTACCTTTTAGAGGCTTTCATGTAGAAATCTCTACATGAGTCCTGTTCAGTGAAATATGGCTGTATGAAATTGGTATTGTTTGTTGTAAAGTTGAATCTGGTGAAACACTCTGTCCTGTGACTGATCTGTGTAAAACAACAGAAAGTGAGTTAAATTTGACTCCAAAGTCCAACAGGTCACTGGAAGCCATCAATTCAGTGTGTACAGGCTAAAACAGCCTGCTTCTACCTTTTAGAGGCTTTCATGTAGAAATCTCTACATGAGTCCTGTTCAGTGAAATATGGCTGTATGAAATTGGTATTGTTTGTTGTAAAGTTGAGATCTGGTGAAACACTCTGTCCTGTGACTGATCTGTGTAAAACAACAGAAAGTGAGTTAAATTTGACTCCAAAGTCCAACAGGTCACTGGAAGCCATCAACTCAGTGTGTACAGGCTAAAACAGCCTGCTTCTACCTTTTAGAGGCTTTCATATAGAAATCTCTGAGTTGAGCTCCAAATGGCTTCAAACTTACCGAGGAGACTTACAGAGACAACACCATCAAGAATCTTGAATCTCAACCTTCTGCCGCCTTTCCCAAGCTAGTTTCTTTCAGGGGCCACATAAGGGCCCGAAATCACAACAGCTCAAATCAGCGTCCCACACCCATCATACAGTTGTATTTTGGTATTAAAACTCCATTTAGAACTCATTAGGTGGCAGTTAGCTCATAAAGTCCACAAAAGGAGCTTTACACGCTCGCTTAGGCTTGAGAAGCAAGAGAGTCCTGTTCAGTGAAATATGGGTGTATCAAATTGGTATTGTTTGTTGTAAAGGTGAGATCTGGTGAAACACTCTGTCCTGTGACTGATCTGTGTAAAACAACAGAAAGTGAGTTAAATTTGACTCCAAAGTCCAACAGGTCACTGGAAGCCATCAACTCAGTGTGTACAGGATAAAACAGCCTGCTTCTACCTTTTAGAGGCTTTCATGTAGAACTACATGAGTCCTGTTCAGTGAAATATGGCTGTATGAAATTGGTATTGTTTGTTGTAAAGTTGAAATCTGGTGAAACACTCTGTCCTGTGACTGATCTGTGTAAAACAACAGAAAGTGAGTTAAATTTGACTCCAAAGTCCAACAGGTCACTGGAAGCCATCAATTCAGTGTGTACAGGCTAAAACAGCCTGCTTCTACCTTTTAGAGGCTTTCATGTAGAAATCTCTACATGAGTCCTGTTCAGTGAAATATGGCTGTATGAAATTTGTATTTTTTGTTGTAAAGGTGAGATCTGGTGAAACACTCTGTCCTGTGACTGATCTGTGTAAAACAACAGAAAGTGAGTTAAATTTGACTCCAAAGTCCAACAGGTCACTGGAAGCCATCAACTCAGTGTGTACAGGCTAAAACAGCCTGCTTCTACCTTTTAGAGGCTTTCATGTAGAAATCTCTACATGAGTCCTGTTCAGTGAAATATGCTGTATGAATTGGTATTGTTTGTTGTAAAGGTGAGATCTGGTGAAACACTCTGTCCTGTGACTGATCTGTGTAAAACAACAGAAAGTGAGTTAAATTTGACTCCAAAGTCCAACAGGTCACTGGAAGCCATCAACTCAGTGTGTACAGGCTAAAACAGCCTGCTTCTACCTTTTAGAGGCTTTCATGTAGAAATCTCTACATGAGTCCTGTTCAGTGAAATATGGCTGTATGAAATTTGTATTTTTTGTTGTAAAGGTGAGATGGTGAAACACTCTGTCCTGTGACTGATCTGTGTAAAACAAAGAAAGTGAGTTAAATTTGACTCCAAAGTCCAACAGGTCACTGGAAGCCATCACTCAGTGTGTACAGGCTAAAACAGCCTGCTTCTACTTTTTAGAGGCTTTCAGTAGAAATCTCTACATGAGTCCTGTTCAGTGAAATATGGCTGTATGAAATTGGTATTGTTTGTTGTAAAGGTGAGATCTGGTGAAACACTCTGTCCTGTGATGATCTGTGTAAAACAACAGAAAGTGAGTTAAATTGACTCCAAAGTCCAACAGGTCACTGGAAGCCATCAACTCAGTGTGTACAGGCTAAAACAGCCTGCTTCTACCTTTTAGAGGCTTTCATGTAGAAATCTCTGAGTTGAGCTCCAAATGGCTTCAAACTTACCGAGAACACTTACAGAGACAACACCATCAAGAATCTGAATCTCAACCTTCTGCCGC